GACTGAGGTGACCAAGGAGAAAACAGAACACTGATCCAACAGCGCTGTTTCCACAAAACCAGCAGTACCAAGTACTAAACAAGTTAGTCTTTGGTGTCTCCATCAGACAGGTTTTACAGAAGAGGCATATGAAAATACTAGTGGAGCTCAGTAAACAAAATTTCATGGCAGAGCCGTGGAGGAAGTCTTTAATCAGACAGCAACCTTTAACAGAACAACGATTCCTCACTAACAGAAATGAACAAACATTTTGCTACACTTACATGAACAACACATGTCTTCTCAGCTTGTTCTGGGACTATCATCCAACTGTTTACATACCTAAACCATTCTCATTAACAGAAGCTGTATCAGACTCTGTCATCCCATCCATAAGAACAGCGTCTTCATCAGTCCTTCGCCGGCGCGACCTCCTGCGGCGGTTACTGCTGTGGTGGGATTCGCTAGCATCGGTATCCACCGTCTGGTCTGACTCGGTGTTATCGAGCAAGCTGTAAGGGTTGCTGTCTGGATCTTTAAGCACTAAACAAACAAAAGAGTTTCCATTTAAGATACTTTAGTTACATATAATTTAATTTCCAGGCTGACTAACATCCGTGTTTGAAAGTTTAAAAATATAAAGCAACCTTACGGAAAGGTGTAATCCAGAGAACTACAGCATTTATGAATTCATACTGGTTCCTCTCCGACTCTAATCCAACAGTAAGTATTCTGAGGCACCACAACAGGCACTTGTATTATTGAATCACAAAGATTTCTATTTAGAGAACTTTTACTCAAAACTCCTAAATGTGTAAAATACACTGTTCAGTTCACAGCAGCACGGTACTTCTGACACTATTGAGGTGTTATGAATTAATACAGTCAAGTTCTGATAAACCAGAAGGTAACTTCCCTTCCATGATTTCTCCTCTCATTCTGTATCTAAACACAAGCTGAACTCAGAAGGCAGCCTTAGGAACGTGCCAAGGGCTTATAAACTTTAATAATATAATTATTATCCGTGAGTAGCAGAGGAAGGAAATGAAGATCATTGTGAGTAGAAGATAAAGGAATAGAAATTGAACAACGTAGTGTACAACAAGGAACTATCACACAACTCTACTGAAATCTCAAGGTATGAAGACACCAATATGGAGTATGCCAAGAGGTTGTTATACAGAAGATTGCTGGGAACAAAAACCAAATTCAAAGTACACGTGAAACACACAGTACCAGAGCTAATGGATGACTTGCCACCACGAGGTCCACCACGCCCACGACCTCCAGACACACTACGCCCTCGTCCTCCAGGACGTCGCCTATTGTCACGCTGGTGTCTGCTTTCCCTGTCATCTTCTCCTGCCAAGGACCAGTCGCTAAGTTCATCTTTTCTCTCAGATTCTGTTTCAGAGGGGTTGGAGAGCTCAGAGTTTGTACCTTGTACAAGAAGGATAAAGAAAACTGGAAATTAATATGAAATTTGGGGTTGTATTCTGGTTTCACATTCACAGAAGTCTTCCAATCAGCATGGCTGGTTATACATACACACACATGCTTTATTTTTATATATATATAAAAAATTAAAAATAT